CCCAATAACCTGCCTCTGCACAACATGGAAGCTCCTGTCAGGAATCATAGCAGTTAAGATGGGCAGACACATGGCTCAATACATGAGCAGGGCCTAGAAAGGAATTGGTAGTAACACCAGAGGAGCAAAGCACCAGCTACTGGTTGATAAAGTAGTCAGTCGAGACTGCAAGACCAGACATACCAACCTGTGCACTGCTTGGATTGACTACAAGAAAACCTATGACTCAATGCCTCACACATGGATCCTGGAAGGCTTGGAACTGTACAACATCGACAGGACTGTAAGAGCCTAGTACACGTGGTCAAGAACACCTCAGCAGTGGTAATTAAGGAATGCTACACACTCCTCATTCCATTTCCCTCACCCAAATTTCTAAATTCCAAATCTTATATTTTGGTCATTGCTGCATCTGTTTAACTGTCTAATGAAAATGTTAAATTCAGATCTTCAACAAAATGTGTTATTTGTACTGATGTTGATCGTGAAGCACCAAATCAGTTGCAGTCAGACGTTGTACCTAAGTACAAACAGAGTTTACAAAAAAAACCTCACATTTAATTAAACATATTGTGGCTGACAAATTAATGAAAGTTCATGCTGACCTCGTATCACCATTTCTTCAATGGCCTCTGTCATGTGACCAGAATAACCATCAGGCTCCACCTCACCCTTAGTGGGCGGAGCTCTAACTGGAACACTTTCCTCCCCCTACAAGAAATAAACAAAGATTAATGGGAAGGTCAGCTGGTGAGTAGGTCACCAAAATGAAAATGATTTTTCTTGTGAGAATAATGAATTTGCTAAGAAAATGCTCTTTGCCTTTAAGACATGAGATGATACTGTATGTATAAAAAGAATGACAGTCATGTCCTGAAACTAATACTCACAGAGGAATTATTGAAGCACTACAATCCAAAGGCTGCATCTTATGAGGAGTATGAATGTAGCTGGCAATTATCAGGGTTATTCATTGTTTTATTTTGGTGTTACAGGAAAAGTTAGAGGTTGACCAAAATTATTATTCATCTTCTGTTATCTACTAATATTCATATTGGACACATTCGCTAAATAATTTGTCATAGCTAGGTTGACATTTGACCTGCTGGTGACTCTTGATAAATGCAGTAACTAAAAATTAGGAGGATTCGTTCATGAGTGATGAACCAACCAGTGAACTGACAGAGCCACACCACTAAAATACCCAATATCAAGAAAGTGACAGTACGAGTGAGAATAACTCAAAAATGGACAAATTTAATGTGTAGGAAGTGTTGGAAGGCTTTGGTACCAGAATTAGTGTGGGCTCATCGACACTGCTTTCATTAATAAAGCTATATCCTAAAGATTGCATAAAATAATTTTCGATTGTCACTACTGGTTGCTAAGTGCCTCTGTTGCTGCTCACGAAGAGACTGTAATATCTGGCAACAGTTATTCAGCTTTTGAAGGACAATTTCTTTTGAAGCTACAAAGTCAGTGTTGATTATGGGATGTTTGGGGTCAGACTGACTTCCTGATTGTGGGAAGATGAGAGAAAAGTACCAGAACAGAGAAGAAATACAGGCTCACAATATGCATGTACACAGGAAGTGCTGTTTTAGGGTCTGGATGATAAGAAGTGGGGTGTGCATCATACGCAGCAGCAGACACACCAAGCTGACACACACATACAAACATATAGCCTAAAAACCTAAATGCATGTGTCCACTGGGTTTCTTTTCAGGAACAGAGTAGTTTTTCAACAGTCATCGCAGCATTTAAAATCTTTGCAGCTGCTTTTGGGTGACTTTTAACAAATAGTATCATTTTCAGACCTTGTCATGACTTTGATCTAAATACATCTGAGAGCATCCAAAGAAACCACCATCCTAAGAAACTCTTATTATACAGAACCTCTAACCAAATTTTTTTTCAGCCACCTGCTCCCAGTACTTCATACAGTGTCCCATCCAGCCTACCTTTGCTGTACCATGTTTCCTCTCCTGTGTGTTCTTCACTTTTTCTTCCTCTGTCTCTCTGTCTTCCAGAGCGTCATCTCCGCTGGCATATCCTGAAGCCTTTTTCAAAAATCAAATCATGTACTGACTTCAGAAACAAAGCTCAAAGCAAATGATGATGTCAACCATTAGTGAGTTGTGCACCACTTTACGTGATAGCTAAAATCCATAATAATAAATGAATTAAAGTAAACACCACAATGCACAGGTTCTTCCTATGACACTAACACATGGCATGAAATTAAATGTTATCCATTGTTATTCCATTATTGGTCAAATAGACTAGTTTCAACTTGTCAGTGTAAATATGGGATCATATGAAAAGCAGGCCAGTATTTTTTAACATTCTCCAGTCCCCATCAAGCACCATTTTATAATGTTGGACCACAGTTGAAATGGACACAAATGTCATTGAATAATATTGTCATTAAGTAGAGTTTGCACAGAAGGCTACATATTTGGTTTTTTCATTGGAATTCTTTGTCCACCAGAGGGTGGCGTAGATTCACGTGCACGTTTATGGACAGCTTCTAGCACATAGTCCTGACTGTGTGTTACATTATCAGGCAGGTTGTTAATTAGCAGTATATATTTTTCAGTTTTTTTTATCTCAACATTTAATGCACCATTTTGTACTGAAACTGTTCATTTGCCAGATACAATTTTAAAAAATTGTATTTTTCATTTACATGTATTTATGAAATTGATCTGCATTAAGAAAAAAAGCTTGACTTAATGGTTGGTGTTTTGTCTCAAATAGTGGAAGTGGTTTATGAATACACAACATTAAAAGGCTACTGTGTGTGTGCATGTGTGCGTGTCGCACATAAGGATCATCATCTTCACACTGCTCCTCAGCTGCTCTCGGATCGTCTTTTATCACCAGCTGCTGAATGGAGCCCTGGAGAGACAGAGAGTGACAGAGAGACAGGGAGACTGTTAACATGCACTTAAAAAATTGTAACTGCTTTAAAAACACGTTAACTGTGTTATGAATTATAGCAAGTCAGTTAACAGAACCAGGTTACTCTTGAATGTGTCAAATGATTCTTATAACCGCTAGCATCTACATCTTGGTGTTCCCAGTGAATGACTGCCTGTAAACATAATGAGAGAGAGAGGCTGACACTAAGTGATAAGTGAAATTCAGTTAAAAGCCTCAATGTGATCACTGGTGACTGTCATGGCTTATGAGCCATGAGGCTAATCACAAATGAAATGATTACTACAAAAAATGGTTTTCTGGAGTCCTTCCTCACATAGTTTTTGACATAAACAGCATGCTGCCATTAATGGTGACCAGACAACATTTATTCATCTTAGAAGACATGCATCTTTTAATGACAGGTGTAAAATCATTTTTCATCCTAATCAGGATGTTGCTTAAAGTTTACACTTACACCACAGTTGACATGGGAACAAAGGCTTGAGCCAAGCCCTTGATCTGACCACAACTAAGGCTTGTTGACATCTTTGACTTCCTCATCTGCCATTAACTTACTCCCCCATCCTCTCCTCCCTTCTACAAGGCAACCCTCTCTCTCCCAACTTCACCCTCTCTGTGTCCTCCCTTCTTACTTCCTCTGAGTCTCTGATCCTCATAGTTGTATGCAGTAAAATCTATAACAGAGGAAGCTTATGATTTAGTACTTGAGGTGGTCATGACATTTTGACCCTCTTTAGACTGTATACAGATCCAGACTGTGTTAGACATAGATGTTGCAAAGCTGGGCATCATATCTGACTGCTCACAATAATCTGACAAGGCTCTAAAGACACGTGCTTCAATTTGAGGCATCATTAGTGGTATTACCATGTCAGTACTTTGCAAGTATTTGGCTCCATTTCAAATAGGTGTCATTTAAAGTGATGGCTACAACAGAAGATGTAAATTTGTTCCGAAATACGCTACTATTATAACTTAGGTACACTTGAAAACAAACTATGCAGCTGCAGAATGGTGCTTAATTTGAAAATATTATTAAGGTTGGGGGAAATCACATCACTTTCATATCTCTCCATAAAATATAAAACTAGATCCAGGAAGCCACAAGTTCCACTCAGGATAAAGACTGGAAAAAACTATTTCATCTTTTGCCTGTTGCGTTTTCAACAACATCCAGTACAACACAGAGAGAAAAACCCAATGCTCAGTACACAAATTGTTTCAGTAGACTGACTGCTGGGACGTTTCCAGAGGAGACAGAATGAGGACAGACAGTATTTCAACTCTTTTACAAGGTAATGAGAGGCCCATAGCACAGACCAGCAGCTCACTGATTCTAACACAAGCAAACACACATCCACAGCTACATGTACAGAAACAAATGTTATTCACTTACCACAAACTTCTCAAGCCCTGTACTTCCTGCATTTGCTACAAAGATGCCTGAGTTGTGAGAAAAACTGAGTCTGCTTGCCGTCCGATGGAAAGGAGCCTTCTCCGCCTCTCCACAGTCCATGTAGAGACGCACCTCATCATGCTCCACCACCACCTGACAGGCAGAGCAGAGACCAAAGATATTCTTTCTCCGTTTTTAGAACGGTACTTCAATATACATTTGATTTGGGTCAATGACCCTTCCAGATTTCATTTGGGTCAATGACCCTTCCAGATTTCATTTGTGTCGATGACCCTTCCATGGAGGCCAGGTTTATCCACTCCAGTCGGATAAACTGTAACTCTGTAACTGGTCATGTTACATTTACTGTACTATATTGCTCACTGTGAACCGTGTCCACTGGTTGGTTATATCTGGGATGCTGAATGCAGCAGCTTTGTGGCTGTGGGAAGGCTGCTCTCTCTCAGTGTAGTACAGTAAGATACTCTGGAGGCCCCCATGGACTGGAGTGAGGGTCAACCCCAGCTCCACCACCTTCTGATTGGCATCTGTTATGGCAAATAGCACCCCTCCTCTTTGGCTGGCTGGACACACCTGGAGTAACAGCAAGGACACTAATGCTTCAGCACAATACCCCATTATAAGATAAAGGTATTACAGCCATATGAATACATTAATGTATTGTAAGTTCCAGTACAAATGGAGATAGTAAATTTTATTGTTATATTTTTTCCTTAACAGCCAATATAGTTTTCATTCACGTCGGCTTATATCTGCTATATTCTACTTGCTATGACTTGATAATATATACATAGGTACCTCTGTTGTGCCTCTAAACGACTATATTCAAAGCCATAGTCACCCCTTTAAAAGGTTTTAAAGCTTGAAGAGTTCAAATTTTTAGCATTACCGTGGCAATAATAGCAAAGTCCCTGTAAAAGGATCCTGGCACGAAGGTCTTGGTGAGCCGTCCAATGTTGACGTCAGGCCCGAAGTTGTAGGCAGGAAAACCCTCATAGCCAGGAGTGAAGGAGACTGAGGGAGGGAGGGGGATGCCAATTAACTCCGTTAGGTCCAGATGACTCCCTGAGCCTTGATCTGACAGGGAGAAGAGACAAAAAAAAAAAAAAGTGAAGTGAAAAGACATCTCTCTCCATATTTATATGCTCACATGACATTTTAGTTTGATAGACAATTCTTATGCTATATTCATCAACATTACCTACAGAAGTCATTGGAGACAGATTTGTTGACCAGTGGTCATTATGTTTTTTAGAGAAATAAAAATAATCTGAAGACACAAAAAACATTACACAAGCTTGTTTTTTCAATATTTCCCTTATTCCTTTATTAATTTTTTGCTATTTTACCACTGGGAAAAAAAACGACAATGGGATTACTGGACAAACATCCAGCTGTAGGTGTACCTAACGTGTGAGGTGCACAGAAGCTGTTCTGGCCATTAAAACTGGCCTCCTTTGTGTTGCTGGCTCACTCACCACATTAGAGTAAGGAAGAGGGGTACTTGTGAATCATCTTGATGTGCCTTTAATTTCATTTGATTTGATCCAGACTTTGTCTACGCCTCATTGCTCTACCTGGCAGCAACATAATCCTTCGAAGAAGAGTTACACACACACACACACACAAAAAGGCGGGCAATTATAGTATTGTGTGTGTGTGTGTGTGTGTGTGTGTGAAGACAGGGCTTCCCATTCCCTTCATTCCCCCCACTATGGAGCCTGTCTCCTGCAGAGACACACTCTCACCTCTGCCTTACAGACAGGAGCTCCCCTGCTACCTACATCTCTCTCATGAGCACACATCAAACCAACGTGAACACAAAAACCCCAGACCAGACCAGACACGCCAACATTTGGGGGTCTCTAGTTCATCAGCCTGGCCAACTGGAAAGGTACCTAATTAGAGGGTTTAGTGTTTAAGTGTGTTTGACTGTGTGTGAGGATGTGCTGCTTTGCTCCATTCGCACTGCTACAAGTGGACCACTGCAGATTTACTCATTTACTGTTGCAAACACAGGCATTGAAGTGGACATTCAAAATACTCAAACCAAAGACGCACACACGCACGCACACACACACACACACACACACACAGAAACGCTCTGTAATGGTTGAACAGAATGGACAAAAGCTGCTCTGAGAGAGCTGAACTTACAACCAGCATGCTGTAAAGGTGAGACACTCAACTGAGAACCAGACTGTACTCAGAGAGCATAAACGTCTGTCACGACAGCTCACTGTGCCCATAATACCATTCCATCTACAAGCAGTATTCCTGGGATAGTTTGAGTCACAATATGACTCACTGATCATGAAAACCTACCCCTAGCATTTGGAATCAGACTGATGTCACTTTTTGTTTTAAAGTTATTCAAGAAGATATTTCAGTAATGGTGGCCTCCTTCAGAATGCAATGCAGCATCTTTTGAAGAGACATCAATTTGAGCCCTATAAATAACATTCTGGATCAGCAGATCTGGAGATTGTGCAAAGTCAGGGGGTCTCAGACCCCCCCACTGAGAGCTCGGACCCCTTGAAAATCTCAAAATGAAAATTCATGAGGGTCTCAGCAATGGGCCAAATTATTTTCTATTTATTTACACAATAGAATGCATTTGCATGTAACTTTATAAACCGTTAATTGATTTTAAAATATTACAAAAGTGATCCAGAAACTGATTGAGCTCCATGGGAGCGTGCAGGCTGTTAAAGATGCATGCATCATCCACTTTATCTCCACCTAGAGCTGCTTTTGTTGAGATAAAACCATCATAAAATACAGAAATAGACACCATGTATATCCCCGTGTTAGTAACAACTACAAGATATGTGTTTGTGAAACTTGATAGTTTGAGAAAATTGTAACGGAGTGACAGCAGCTCAAGTGGTCGAGCTAACTTTACCTGCTGTCAGTAATGCCTGTAACATTAAATGGGACATCATTATTTACCATAGCTCTGTGGCAATGTTGAGGGGGCATTGCCAAGATTAGCTGGTGTGGATAAGGGATTGAACAACCAACATGAGAGCAGCTAAAGAGCCAGATTTTTCTCTCAGTTTGGAGAAGGCCAAGACAGAGCTAAAAGCAGACTGATTCTGCTGGAATTACATTTCTCAGGTGGTCAAAAGCACAACTACAAATGAATGCTGATGTTGCACTAGATGTGTAAACAGGCAACTGTTTGCTAATAAATTTGCTAAATCAACTTTAAGGTTATAATACTGTATATCACTGTTGTGTTTACAGCTTGTTGTGCTGCTCTCTAGTAGTCGAAAAGTCAGCGAAGGCAGGTTAGATTATATTTTTGTTCTAATCTCACAAATTACTCTTCACTCTTTTGTTTAAATACTTGCAACTCATAGACATACACCAACTTATACAAGGTTTTGCATGTAGACATAGCTTCTTTTTAAATGGTTATGAGGCACTTCTACTCTACGCACTCAGGAAATCTAACCTTTCTAATGAATCAATTGCAGCCCTTCTATGAAAGGGAGGGAAAAAGTCTGAAATGATAAAAAAAAGAAAACACTTTCTTCTATTCAACACCCCTTAGCACTCACCACTCTTCCAGTGTTTCAGTGGTTTGTACTGGGACCTGGTTTTGCTGCCTCCACCTGCAGTCTCCTCTGCAGGCAACGCCCCAGGCTCCTCAGTGCTATGGTCAGGGATCAGCACTTCAGGGCTGGGTGTAACAGGCAGTTCAGACCCATTTGGTTGAGTGCTTCCCTCCACAGCTTTCTCTGTCACCCTGTCCGTTCCCATCCACTCTGGTGTCCCTGGCGTGTCAGAAAGGCCAGGTGAGGAGATGGATGGAGAGGTAACAAAGGGAGGAATGGTAGAAGGAAAAGATTTGGAGTTGGTTTGAGGACTTTCCCAGAATAAACTCCACCACTGGGCTTGTATGGGAGAGGAAAAGAGGAAAACGAGAGCAAGAGAGAGACGAAGGGCTGCCATCTTATTTCTGTCTCACAGGGAAGTACAAGCACACACTGTTGTAAGCCAATCCTGTGAACTGCAACGACAAAATACTCCACATGTGCAAACTGCCATATAGCAAAATAGATGCGAAGTTTCCAGCTGTAAGAGGATACAAACCACTCTACTAGCATATGGAGAGTCCTGCAGAGTGTGTAAATCTCAGTGATCCAGGAGATCCAGCATCACAGAAAGTATTCACAGGGCAACCTATTGGCCTCTTACTGTCCTTTCTTATGTTCTCTTTTCTTTTCTCTTTCTCTCCTCTCTCATTGTGTCCTCCCTTTCTCAACCCATCTCTTGCTCTGTTTGTAACTTCTTGATATCTCTCTCTTTTTTCTTTCTCTGTCCCTTACTCAATCCCTGTATAATTACTGTCTCCCCCTCCTCTGGCACTCAACAGCACATGTGACTTGATTTTCTCTCCCTTCTTCTTGCAGACAGGCAGATTAGAGAGTCCGCTAGTTCACTATTTCTCCATCCTCCTCCTCCTCCTACTTTCCTCTGTCTCCTCGCCTCCCATCTGTGAGTGTGTTCTGTGGATCAAACTTGTGGCCTCTTGGTATCTTGTCACAGAACCAGAACAGCCTGTCCAACTCACCAACACACACAGATGCAGTGATATAAGATAAGACACATCATTCACAATGCTGTCTTTGTTGCCAGTCATCCTGTCAGCTTTTCCTGTTGCTATACAATGTTTGCCATAATTCATTTGAAAAAGCAAATATATCTGCATAGGTTTCCGTTAATAATGAGGCAGTGAGATATCTAACAAAATATCATAAAGAGTAAAACAAACAAAAACTACCCAAAAAATAAAAAGAGAGAGAGTCAAGAAAACAGTCCAGGCATTAGCAGGGAGGTTTCTTTATTAAGATATGGAGGCAAAGCATTCCTCCCTTCTGGTACAGCTACATGGTGAATTCTAAATAGTGTGGAAAAATTATTATTCAAAATTTAGAAATATTTCAATGATAGCCTTATGTCTTGATCAAATGTTCTAAGTAAAACCAAAGGAGACCAAAGGAGACCAAAGGAGAGAACAGTTGAAGTATAATTCCACTTAAAATGAAGAGCTGATTTACTGCTCTGAAGTTTTAATATATATATACATGTATGTGAAGGTATAATATGAACTCCTCCCCTCCGGACGGTGCTACAGGTCACTGTGCACCAAAACAACCAGACAAGGACAGTTTCTTCCCCCAGGCCATCACTCAAAGGAACACTTAACCCATGTTTATATGTATAACAAAATACAACAAACTCCACAGTGCAATAACTTATAAATATAGAATACTAAACAGCTCTTTTTAAACTTGTATACACATGTATACAAGTTGTACACATATTTATCAATAGATTGCTGTTTTTGTATTCTTGTTTTTTCCTTGTTATTCTGTCTTTTGTTCTGATTTTATTCTATTTTATTTGATACACACTGGGGCCACTGAACTTGAGTCAAATTCCTTGTATTTTATCACATTTGGCAATAGAGATTATGATTTATGATTGATTAACCCTAAACCTAAACATAGTTATAACTCATTTGAAAGTCTCACCCTGAGTCTCTCACACCCAAACTGGAAAACTCAAAAGCCTGTTCTGTTTGTTATTGTTTACCGTCCACCTGCTCCTTATTCAGAGTTTTTAAGTGAATTCTCAGACTTTCTGTCTGATTTAGTGCTTAGTACAGATAAAATAATCATAGTAGGCGACTTTAATATTCATGTAGATGC